CGCCCCCGCAGGGGTCGGCGGATAATGTCGCGACATGTCGCTGCGACGAAGGAAAAGCAAACGTTAGCAGCACGGAAAGCAGGACAGGGGCAATAGGCTTTGTCAAATCGCCGCCAAATTAGGCTGGAATGGTTGGCCATCCACGGAAATCCGCCCATTGCACAGCGTCCCGAAGTTCGACGTGCAATCAGAGTGCTCTAACTTGGACTGAAGAGTGGTAAGACTGTACTTTTATGCCTCGCCATTGAAGGTACCACCCGTGCTGGTGGATCACTCGCAAGTCTGCCTTCAGGACATGTCGGATGGTGTAGCAGCCCCGTCCCTGGCCTTTAATACCTTTAAGTTTGAAATCATTCGTAATCCGTTGAGACTGTTTGAAGGATCTTGCCGAAGTGGAAAGGCATAATGTGGCCGTGACCTTAGACTTCATGCCGCTCGCATCTCTAGAAGGTTGTATTTACATATACTGGACACAGAGCGTGTGTTGGCGCAGGTGTGGCAAAGCTGCACCTTCTTTAATGCATTGTTCTTCCACGGGCAGCTGCAGGCTGGGTTAACCTTTGAAAACAAGACGACCAGCTACGATAAGATATGTTGAAACAGTGCACTTGATGGATGGGGCCATCAAGCCTGCACGACCATGACGAGGTCGATGACATTCGCTTTCGTGCATCAGTGCCAGGCACATGGCTAAGTGCGATGCTTTCCACACGACTCGCAGCCAAGTCGGTAGAAGATGAAAGCGTGCGGCCTTGGCCAGGATCGCTGGATGCAGCAGAAGGGGCTGAGGCGGCTCGGCTGCCGCCGACAGGGGTCACGCAGTGGTCGGTTGCACCCGAGGCCGCCGTGCGCTATGAGTTTTCCGGTGATTTCACATCAGCAATGCCGTGTCCCCAATGCAGTCCAGCGATTCGTCTTTTCTTGACCTGGCCCAGGTTGTGGATCGAATTCGTATGGCCATGCTGCAAGTCGTGGACCCTTATGAGGACAGCCATGCATCTGTGGGAACCGTCCTCTTCTTGACCGCTCGGGCCTGTGACTCGATGGGAGATAGCGACACGTAAGGCAAAGAGCAGGCAGTTGAACAGTCAGTCTCGAGGACGCCCCTTCCAAAACTTTAGTAAAGCTGTACTCGCACGAAACTTGAGCCAACTCCGCGGAATCAGAACTGGTAATATGCCGAAGGAATTTGCCAAGATGGGCTCATGGGAAGTATATCCAGTGCTAAAGCTTCTACCAATGTCCCACAGGATGAATTCCCATGAGTCGAGATGTACAAGCACGAAGGTGAAGTTCAGTTCTTTCGTTGGAAAGCCATGCTCGAAGCGATCGATCAGTGCGATGATGAGACTCGTAACAAGAGAAATCGTTCTTTGGCAGCATGCAAACAGGCTGCGCCCGTGTCATGCAGGCTCCTGGACTCCTGGGTTGAGGTTTAGTTCCAGGTTCTGTGGGTTCAGGTGGATACAGCCTGGACAGGTTAGGCAAACAGCACCGATGTTTCGTATGGACTGAATCGTGGAAGCTATGCAGGACGGCATCAGTGCTGCTGCATGAGATGGTACACGTGTGGCACGACTCAAGCTGGACAAGGCGAAGCGGCCAGGATGATATCAGTGCCAGGTCTGTTAGATTCACGTCCTTTCATGTGCGTTCATTCAGGTTTTGTGTTCAGCTCGGAAGTTCACTCATGCGGTCAGTGGGGCACACAGTGAATCCTCACAGAATGCAGAAGAGGTTCTAGCAGGGGCGGAGGGTGTGCACATCTGGGCGCACTGGACATCGGAGGGCGTTGACTCGGCCTTGGAAATCTCTTCGCTCCATTTTTCAGAACCGCTTGGCGTGGTGGTGAAGAGCTTGAGTTCGACACGTTGTGGCTGGCATCGGCACTAGCCAGCAAAGTAATGCAAAGCATGTGCTGCGAAATCAAATCCGGAGCTGCTGAGGCTGAACGTCGTGAAAGTCTGGCGGTCGTCGATTCTGGTCCTGGTCGCGTCGTTTCTGGACTCATTTTGGCGACCAAATTCGATTTCGACCATTTCGCTCAGCTGAATTCCACATGCCGACGGATGTAGTCAAGCAGACAGACAAGGTGGCTGGTGACTGCAATCGTCCAAGCCAAATTACAAAAGTCTGCGCTCAACGCACAGTTTACAACTTACATGATCAACCCACTCTGCACGTGAACCTAGTCCCGAGCCAGCTCGTTGTTGGCACACGTGACGTTGTCTGTGTGTCTTGATGCGTTGTTGAGGCAGCAAGACTTGATGTGAAGCTCTCTACACTCCCGAAACATTTCGTAGCACCCAGAGCCATTCCATGCCTGGCATCATGGTGTGGAGTAGACGTTATAGTTATTACTCGAGATCAGTTCTGCAACCTTTAAGAACAGCCGTCAATCTCCAATCACAAACCCGTCTACACGCATTGCCCATCCACAGGGCTGTGAGATCTCTTCCAAGCGAGAAAGACCATGGGATCCAGGTCGTTGAGGGCGGCTATGCTGCCCAAGTAACAGCTTTTTGCTGGTTGGTCCGCACTCCCACAGCCTTGGGCAACACCAGCCAACTGCAAAGTTGCAGCAGTTCTTCGGGTCGGCACTGCTTCAGCAAAGACGTTAGTTTCGACCCCGCATGCTTCGTCATTGCTCGTCATGGTATGCTCGTGGATCTGACTCATAGTGACCTAGTGAGGACGGTGGGTTCCGGCTCGTGCTAATATCCAATAGCACACGCAAGCACAATGCTCACAGTCCACCAGCGCCACGTTAAAACACACACACACACACACACCGCAGCTCTCAAGTCAAAGGTTTCCTCAATCCAGAACAATCTGTGTGGGCCTTCGACGAATTCAGCCAATAGGGTATGACGTGTTTCAACATTGATTCAGTGAGAATGAGTCATGTGCCGCTTTGCGCTCTTGAGACGCGCATTCGCGCATGAGCCCGCGGATAACTCACGAGATCCATTACCTCACTGATCGCTTCCTTACCCGTGCGACACTGCCATGACCATCTGAGCAATCCGACTCAACAGCTGCGATGTTACCAGCCCAGAGCGCAGTGCAGTGACTGCCGTTTTCTCTTTATGGAGGGTCTCCTCCTGAAGACTGAGAAAAAAAGGTCACCTGTACAGTGAAGGGGGTTGTGGGGAAACTTCTGTTGAGAAGTTTGCTCCTCGTAACGAAGACACTTGCAGACGTGCCGTGGCAGGCTCGATCAGCTCTTGACACCTCACTCTGCCACCTTCCTGAGGACTTGCTTTGGCTGCTACATGGTGTTGTGCTTGACTTTGGAAGGATTTTCGGCATCGGCCTTTCAGATTCAGCCTCGTGCGAGGATGTGCGCTGACTTGAACCAAATGTGCCAGGAGGAGGACATTGAGGTTGGAGAAGGCAGGGCAATGCAGCTGCGTCTTGTGATTCTCGAGGAGCTTCCCTTCTTTCCAAATATCTTCACGGAGTCATGGGTCCTTCTCGGCCGCGGGCACAGAGGGTTTCATTGTGGAACATTCAATCAAATCGCTGATAGCAGACTGAACCATGACGGAAAGCCAGCTCTGGATGCTCCCTACCCTACACTGGCCCTACACCTGCAAAATTACTGATCATATGCAGTTGCCGTGACTCAGTTGCTGACGAGCTCGGCGAATTTGGTGTCTTCTGCGCTGGACCGCAGCGAGAGGGCGACTTCGGACATCGCTGGATGAATCTCCTCAAAAGAAACGGACATTTCAAAGGCCATCCGAGGCCAAACGCTCGCGCTTGCATGGAGCTCATGCGCCAGGCAACTTGCTTGGCGACCTTCAGGAGCTTGGCATCAGCCTGCTGGATGCCATTGCGCAGCCGACGAGTTTGTAAGTCCCACACAGCGTATCCAATGTTGCATCTTGCCGAGGCGGCCAAGAAGCTCCTCAATTCTGTTCATATACAACAGGCACTGCACTTTGGCTCGTAGCTTAGCTTGCTCAAGTTGTCACGGATTGCGTCCAAGCCTTCTCAAGCTTTAAGGCATTAAGATCCATGGAAATCCATGCACGCGTGAACGTGGTGCAAGTTCAGGGTGCAAGGGTGTGGCTTGGGAGGCATACAGGGTGCAAGTGCTCAAACGGCACCCGATTCAATGAAGCATGAGCAGGCGCATCCTGTTGATGCTTCATTAAACGAGTGCAGCGTGCTGGGGTTCGGACAAGCTGTGTGCGGCGTGCGGGCTCGCGCCCGCACCACTGCTCATCGCACTCTTGCACCAGGCAATTGATTATGGCACTGCACCCTGATACCTCTGGATATTTGGCAAACTACTGTAAACCTGGCCTCTTTGATTGGCATCGGAGGCCGTTGTTTCAGTTGAGGACGGAAGGCTGTGCTGGCAGCCTGTTTTCAGATTTGTCTACAAAAAGCTCCTGTGGCGATGTTGGGGTGGGGGGTGCAAGACGATTGGATCAACGTGATCTCTGCCGGCCTCCGGCTTTCATGATGGGTTGGCCGCTGTTAAAGGGTGTGGCTTAAGTTCATGGAGCAGTCAGCAGAGTCCGTCTGGTCAACCGCCAACCCGACGAGAGCATCACAATGGATGAAGGAATTCAGCAAAGCTGATGTGTGAGTCTGAGTTCTGACACGAACCTACATGTAGATATGTTGATATGATCAAACATGCCTGACCCAGAGTGGCAGGGAGCGAACACAGTTCGTAAGTCAGGGGCGTGGGAACAGGCTGGCTTGAGTTCAGTCCTGCATGAGGCACCTGCAAAACTTCAGCTGCGCAGAGTCATGCTTTTACTTTTCGCCGCAATGCGGCCTCAGCGGAAAGGTGACTTACCATACTCGTGCCACGAAACATCGCAGACATCCATAGACGGCTGCTTGCATATATTCTATTGGTCAGTTACTTTGCAAGAGTAAACAAAAACCAATCATGCACCAGGCTTCCAGGCAAAGCGTGTACACCTTGTTTGGACGCGTTCCAACAGGCCATGGCTCCTCTACACTCCGTTACTGTAGCTACTTTCTGGCACGCAACCCCCGCACGTTCCAAAAAGCTCTAAATGAGGACTGGTTCCAAAGTAGAGGTGGGAAGGCATTGGTTTGAAGTGCACCTGTCACATGCCCCATGTCCGTTGCCAAACTGGGCAGCCCGGGACTGAGGTTATGACAGGCTGCAGTCATGGCGTCGTTTCCTTGCCCAGGCTCTGTCAGATTGGTAGATCACGACTCGACACGTTGCCTGCATCCGCCAACTAGTTGACCAGCACAGCTACTGTACGATCTGTACGTTGTTTTCGTTATGCTCTCGTCAAGACGCACTTGGTCTCGCAGATGTGTCATCGGCAAGCTCCGAATTGTTGATCCCTTCACCACAGTCACGATCACGACCTCAAAGTATCTCAAAGTGGAAAGGTTCGTCATCAGGCTGAGCAGCGCAGCGCACCCGGACGTCCAAAAGAACAAGCATGGCTTTTCGGACCCTTTTTCTTCCAGCCAATGCTCCTGGCACAAAGCTTGGATGTGTGACGAGTACACGTCAGTTGCCAACGACATGTGCGCAGAAGCAGTCATGAGCCTCCCTTGTGATCAACCGCAGCATCGATATTTACACTGCACAAGAGCCATTTGCTTTGCTTTGCTTGCTTTTGGTCGTCTTTAGGGCTACCCATATCTACCCATAGGATGTTCAGGCCAAGCTCTTCGGCTTGCCGCACATATGACATTCAGATTCCTGCACGTTGTCCATCCACAAATTCCGTCGCAGGGTAGCAAAATATAATGAACTGCCACAGAGCACCAAGACTCCAAAAGCGCTTCGTTCCTTGCTTGGTTCAGCATTTTCACGCGATTCTGCTCTGGGATTCTGTGATCTACACCGAAATCTTCTTGCACATCTCGCGACAGAACTATACTGCACAGTCGAGCTGTGACAGACTGAACCCACACTGTTTTCAATTGTTTTCTGCTGTGGAACACTACCCGTATGCCGTATGCCGCTTTGCGGTGGTTACTTTCGCCTCGCCACGCGTGTGGCATTGGCCATGGTTTGCCCCTGCAGTGGCCTGCAGGCTTGCATGCAGCGAGTTGCAAGCACGAGCTCGAATTCCGATGATGTGATTATACGAGGAGATTACGCTGCGATCTCGGAAAGTTCTGGCAGAATCTGGCTGGTTCTCCATATTGCTCATCCCACAAACATCTGTCAACCTGCGTCGGTCAAGGTGGTAGCTCGTCAAGCTGTCCTTGCTCAGCTGGCAGCATGCGGCGGCGTTGATGCTTCGATCGTTGCCTCCCCTTGGACTGCTTGGAAAAAAGTGTTGTTTGTTCAATAGCCTGCAGCGTAGCATGCCTCCCCGCTGATGCTGTTCTACGGCTTCGGCCAGTCCTTCTACTCATTGGCATGCAGCATTGAACGGTTCTGCTCTGTGGTTGTGACACGCGCAAAACGTGGGCTCAGATTCTGATAGTGACGGTACCACATTTGCACCACGAAGCGGTTGGCATGGGCGGGCAACTCAGTTTGGGTGTGTTCAAGCTGTGATGTTCAGAGCAGTATGTGCTCTGAGGCATCGAAGAAATTCGAGTTGTGCCGGTATGTGGGCTTTGCTCCTGCTTGGCCCTGGTGATTTTCACTTGTGTTGCACTGCAGACTGCTCAGGTGGCAGGGCAATGTTTGGCAATGATTCGCTGAGGATTGCTCAGTCCAACCAAGGCCAATGTCCATCAAGTCGATGGAGCAAGGCAGAAATTCTGTGCAGCTGCAGTGGATGACTCAAAGCATTCTCGACGAGGCACCAACATGAGATTGTCTGCAAGTCGTTTATTTACCGTATGTACACCAAGAAGAATAGAATGTATGCATGATTGCATGCATGTGTATATAATAGCATGTATATATATATATATATAGATATCTATACACTCTTTTTTTCATTCGCAGCGTTGGAGTCCAAGTCAGAGGCACGCCTACCGCCTAGCATATGAGTTCAAAAAGTTGAAACAAGCGGCCTCAAGGCGAGCAGCTCAGCCCGAGCACCGTGCGGCCTCCAAGCGAGTAGACCACTATACAGCGCCGGAGCAGCCATACCCCCCAGCAACGCACCACAAAAAATCCGCCCGAGCGAGCCTGGTTCAGTCGCAGCACAGCACTTCTGGTGTAGGGGGCTCGGGCGGCAGTGGCGTGGATCCTGCAGCCGAGGACCCCGCGTTGTTCGGGGGAAGAGCTGGAGATGCGGGATGCCTGTTGTAAAGTAGATCCTGTAGAGCAGTAACCTGGTCCAACGCGAGCATCAGAAGCACTGTCCGACCCGTTGATGGCTCAAGCCAAGCGCGTGCAACACAAGTGTTTGTGCACAAACCGACACTGCTGTCAGTTTTCGTGGAATCCCAAGCAGCTGCTCACAGTGAGTTCCCTCCTCCTATACGCAAGCTGCCACCTTCCTTCCTTGGCAAGGTGTGGGCTGACTTTACACTGGACAGGAGTGGAGCCGCGGTATGTGGTGCTGCTTTGTCTACCGCCACGGCAGAGACTACACAAGTGCCTCAGGCAGTCGGGAACGAGGAGATCATGGAGATCGTTCCGGACCGGGCGCCCGAGAGGCAAACTACGCAGCCAGAGCAAGGGCCGCTGGAAGAGGCGGCGCCGACAACATCGACCGGAAACCCAACGACACCCACTTCCACATGGGATGCGACGACAACCATGACGGAGCCCTTGGCAACAGAGTTGCCAGAGGAGACGGCGCTTAGACACGAATGCCGACAACATCGGCCGGAAACCCGACGACAGCCACTTCCACAGAGGTCCCTATGATTACGCCGCTGCAGCAGGCTATGCGAAGGTCTCCAGATGACGTAGATGGGGTCCCCAAGTCTTCTCGTTCTGCAAGGTCACTGTTACCAGTGGGTCGTGTCGATGCAGGTTTGGTGTCCTTACCTTGGTCTGACTACCACAGGAGCGTCAGAGATCCGAGACATCAAGGTCAAGGCCGAGAAGTGCGCAGCAGACTTGAAGGCCAAGGCAAATAAGTCATATCATTTTCTGGCGGGCCGGACCGAAAAGATGCACATGAAGAACGTCAAGAAGGGGACCGGGAAAGAGCTTCACTACAACCGGGAGACCGAGGATGTGAAAGCAGCCCTGAACCAATCACGGCGAAAAGAGTGGGACAACTGGAAGAATTACTCCCCTTTGCGAGTCTTGAGCAAGCCGGACTTCGAGCAGATGAAGAAGAAGGACCCCGGGCTACGCGTGATTCCCACAAGGTTGGTGGACACCAACAAGGCGGATGAGGGCGAGCCGCTCAAAGCCAAGAGCCGCTTCGCGGTTACAGGCGACCTGGAAGATACCCGGCAGACTTTCTTCAAGGGTCAGTTCTGGATCGGTTGTTGGTGTTGAGCATGCCAAAAGCGGGTGCCCTTTATGATACGCAGGGGGACGATTTGGTCCTCGCCTCTACCACCGTGGACGCGGCTCGAGGGTGGTTCAGGAAGCTTGATGGCTCGCTGCAACGAAGAAAGCTGCGCAGGGTTCCCGTGGAGCCAGGATCCTATATGTGCCGAACGGGAACCGCGAGGATGGCACTGTCTATGCGAAGGGACTCCTGCTGATCCACGTCGATGACATCCTGTGGACCGGCGTCGATGAGAGGAACCAGCTGATGGATGAGATCCAAACGGAGTGCAAGTTTGGCTCCTTGGATTGCAGCGCTTTCAAAAATTGTGGCCGCATCCTGGCGCAGACCGAAGCAGGAATATCTGTAACTTGCCCGGACCTGATCACGAGGGTGAGACCAATACAGCTGGACCCACGACGACGAGGTCAACGGAACGCGGCTGCAACAGTAGTTGAGCGCAGCCAACTGCGATCGGTGACGGGGTCACTCAACTGGCTAGTGCGGACTTGCCGTCGTCCCGACATCGCCTACGGAGTGGCGAAGTTGCAGTGTGCCGTCAACAAGCCCACCGTTCAGGACCTTGTGGACGCCAACGCCCTTGTGAAGTATGTGCAGAAGACGAAAGACAAGGGCCTCTTTTACAAGGCCGGAGCCATGCAGTTCGATGACATGATGTTCGTGTCAATCCAAGATACCTCCTTGTTTCGGAATCCGGTAATTAAGCTGGGATTCCGAAGCCAGAGCGGGCGCATTGTGTGCCTGGCGCCTCGGAGCTTTGCCACCACCTTAGACGAGCACCTCTATACCGATCGACTGGCACAGCACTGTTATCAGAGGGGTTTGCAAGTCAACACTTCAGGCTGAGAGCCAGAGCCTGCAGCTCGGGGCTGTGGAAGCCGAGCATGCTTGCTCTGTTTTTCATGGCTTGCATGAGAAGCAGCCCAAGATGGACGCGACCACTTGGGTCATCGGGGCCCAAGATCGCCTCCCTGTGATGTGGGTCACAGATGGCTATAGCCTCCTGGCGCACTTGCTGAACCCCGCGACTGCAACAGTGGGAGACAAGCGTCTCGCGATAGATCTGTGTGCTCTTCGTCAAGAGTTGCGGGGCAGCCGAGGTGAGTTTGCAGGTGATCCGCTCGGGCATGACAAGCCACCCGAAAGCCCATCCACTTGTATAGGTTGGACATCCACGGATGAGATAGATGTTATGTTAGCAGATGGGCATGGAAAGGTTCGTGAGAGGCCAGCGGATCTCCATGGTGCCAACATTGGACCAGAAAAACAATACCGGTGTGAAAGTAGATCCTGTAGCGCAGTAACCTCGTCCAATGCGAGCATCAGAAGCACTGTCCGACCCGTTGATGGCTCAAGCCATGCGCGTGCAAAACAAATGTCTTTGCACAAACCGACACTGCTGTCAGTTTTCGTCCTGTACTACAAAGCCGTCGCAAGGCCAAGAGCTTCCGTTATGCCTGCGAATCGAGCCAGCACGCATAGGTGCAGGGGACAGGACAGCAGGCGGAGGTGCAGGGACCTCAAAAGCTCGGCGGGTGCCGGAGGAAACAGAGGCCAGGGAGACAAGGGCCTCCCAGCCCAGTCCGGACTCGGAGGCGTCAAGGGCGAGCAAGGAGTCGAGCAGGGGGGCGCAGACGTCATCACTCGGACACGCATGGAAGACCGTGGCAAAGGTCCCGGAGGCCATTGCAGGTGGCGCTTGCGCAACCCGTTGTTCAAAGCATGCCCGACGCCCGGACTCAGACCTTCGGAGGCCAACTTGGCAGGAGCTGTAGGAAGGAAATACGGGTTTCCCATTGCTTGCAGTATTGTCCTCGTCCCGCTGTCTCCACGGGTGGTTTGTCGATGATTTGGCTCCATGCCAGGGTTGCCAGTTGGCAGATCCGGAATAGGCTCCACCACCTCCCCATGGCTTGTTCGTGTCCTTGCCCATAACAGGGTCACCCAGGCAGCATCCTGGGAGCGAGTGGTGCAGGGCAAGCTTGTGCACCGGGATACCAGCTTTCCGCCGCTTCCAGATCCGTTTTCGGGCACTCAAGCAGCCTGCACGCTGGTGGCGATGCCAAGTATCTACTCCACAGCTGGCGTGGATGTTCTGAGCCCTGTGTATATGTATGTATACATATATAAATATATGGATATATACATGCATACATACGATTACATACTCACATACAAGCATATACATACATGTATACATAAGATGTTGGGGGGAAGTTTCCGACGGAGGTGATTACAGACCCTGGCCTGAAATTCGTTGGCCTCGGGAATTACCTCATCGAGCAGCATCCTGAGAGAGAACTCCGCATGCACAGAGCGGCGCAACGGAGCGGACGCAACAGACAGAGCGGGGCAGCTCAGTCGTTTTGTTTTGTGCCTTGTCAGGTTTCCTGCGACCTTTAACACGATGTACTTTATTCAAGATGGACGAGGTGTGGCTGCATGCCGCATGCAGTGAGCCACAAACTTGTGATGTAATCAATCGGGACTGATGTGTTCCAAGACTGTGTAGGAGTTGCTGGAGCATCTGTTCCGGAGCTTTTTGAGCCGATGTTGCGTGGGCCGATTCGTGCCCGATCAGCAGATGGGTCCAGCGCTCAGTGGCACACAGCGCCTTTTCGGCGCATGGGTGAAATGAGTGGGTTGGGGTTGGATTGGGTTGGCTTGCATTGGGTCGGGATGGGTGAGGATGAACCTGACAGGGGCAGGTGGGTTATGGTGGGTTTAGTGTGGATGGAATCCACGACTTTCTGACGTCAATGTCAGACAGACATGGTCAGACTGCCCCTGCTCGGCGTCGAGAGCCTCTCTTTGTTGCCAGCTCGCAAGCCTGACAGGAACACCCACGCCTGGCTAGGGCAACTTGTTTAGGCGCAAGCTCTTGCAGTACAGTAAGACCGCGGAACGATAAAGTCAGTTCCTGGGTGCTTTTTCTTTACTCCCATCATACTTGTTCTGGGCACGCCTGCACAGAGTTGTGCCGGATGTCCAGCTTGCACTATTCACATCGTAACAGCGATCAATTCTTGTATCATGTTGAGTCAGGTTTCACAGTTCTTATGCTGGCTAGTAGCTGTTTCAAGCGGCGGTACCTCTCACGCCGAATAAGAGGATCATGGAGACCAAGGCGGACAGACAATTGATTGATGGAGCCGGAAGTTCGTGAGAACGGCTGATTTAGACTACAGTGTTTCTCCTTGCAGTGACACCCTGCCACAGCCAAGCAAGACGAATGAATACGCGACAGATTTCTGTGTGAGTTGGACTGCATGGCTTTTTCAGCGCGACGAGTTGGATTGCCTTGCGCTGGCTTGTGCTGGGCCGTGTCAGGTGTGAGAATGACACAAGATGCCACCAGTGTAAACTGGTTGCCCTGCAAAGCATGTTTGGCGCATGCTGCACGTCCATTTCTATGGGTGATGAAGCATTCAACGATCTGAAAGTCGAAAATGGTCAACCTCGAGCCTTTGGTTTGAAAGGCGGTAGGGTTCGAAGATGTTCGAAGGTTTGAACACGATGGTGTGTGCCAATGAGCAGGTGTCGAACATGGAAACTCTCAATCTAAAAGCCCTGGAGCTGTCGACCTTTCCAACTTTTCCTCGAGTGGCGGCTTCGAAGCCAATCTCCAAACTTTTCCGTGGCCGAGTTCGATCGCGCCGCTCAAAGCTGGAAGATCTGCAGTTCGATAGTTTAAGAGGTTGCGACTTCGAAGGAATGAAAGTTTTTCATCACTGGGGAAAAAGTGCTAACCTTTGACGCCTAGCCTCCTTTCTTGATAAATGATACGTCGTTCTGGTAGATGAAGCCCTCTCAAATTGCATGCTCTCCAACTCAAACGATCACTCTTTCGAGTCTTCGAGCAGTTCGTGCTCCCAACGGTTCAAGCTTTGAAACTTGGTAGTGATCGAACTCTCAAGCTTTCACTCTTTCCAACCCTGAAACTTTCAGCCTTTCACCTTCCCAGAAGCTAAAACTTTCAATGCTTCAATCTCGGGCTCCGTAACATTTGAAACTCCAACCTCTCAAACTTTCAATATTCGAAGGCAATACGTGGACCTGTCCAGGTGCTCCACCCAAGCCCGTCGCACAGCACACGTCGCCGCGGCTGCAGACTTTCAAACTAAATTCCGGGTCAAACCTTCAAATTCTTCAGTTCCGAAACGTTCAGACTCCGAACTTTCATTCTGAAAGGGTCTTCGAACTGTCAAAAGACTCTCAAGCTCGCTAATCTGGCCCCCCCCCACGTGGTGCATTCAAACTTTCCAACGATTCGTTCGAAAAAACCTCCTCGTGACACCCATCGCGTCTACCCCTTGAACCCGAGCTTCTTGAGCGTTTGTCTGAGGTTGGAGATGCTGGTGTCCGTGTCGTTTCAGTGGAGGCTGAGGCGCTGCACGTTGATTGCACCCGTCCCACGGCACCGGACCAGCAGACTTTCAGGTCTGACGCGCTGAAGGATCTCTACAACATCTTGGGAGAGACCATGTACAGGGACCGGCTTTGGGTTTTGGGTCCTGTCGATTTTGGGCATGGCACAGGCACAGGCACATACAGGCACCGTGTCATTTAGACATTGGCAGTTCCGCTGCTTGCAAGCTGCTGCGAGTAGTCGACATGGCCACTGCGAGGATGAATTTGTCCGCTTTGCCCGGGCAGCTATCATTGAGTCCTGCTCTTTGTTTACGGCCGATCAGCCCAACCTGCTGAAGTTGGGGCTGTGCGATTTGTCACAGTGAGTATGGCTCGAGAACATCCATGGGGTGCTCCGTGAATCAGGTTTACACTTTCTTTCAAAATGTCGAGATGCCCATCATTTTGACGTTGCCAGATACTTCACGGAGCGCACGACGATCACGGCGAAGATGCTGGAGGTCAAGACACTCCTGCTGAGTGTCATCTCTGCATGGAAAGATATGGAAAGACAGGTGCTTCAATCGAACTTTGAAAAGCCGGAGCTTGGACTAAGAATGGAGATCACGGGCCTCCAGCTGCGAGAGGCTTGCCTGGTGAAGCATGCTCTTAAGTTTTCTGCTGAATTCGGCCAGACATTGTTCGACAGGTTGACCTGCCCGACGACTATGACGACGAAATTGAGAACACGCAAGAACAAATGCAGGAGGTAGGCAGTCCATGTGATGACCTATTTAGCTATGGGGTAGTCACTCCACGAAGCGAACTGACGTTTTACAACCCTTTCTCATATTCAAGCTCGCTTCTGTTTGGACTGTACGTGTGCAACACAACCAGTCCACCGTAAAACTCTCATGAATGATGCCTCGACCCTCAAGAGCCATGCGAAGTCTTGAGACATCTCAAGACATCATGGCACAAATCTGAAACACTCCGCATGCTGGAACCAACTTGATAGATTCTTGCTGGACCTTCGTGTGACGATGCTGACATGAGAGCCGGCACGATCGCGGTAGCAATGAAATATTGTCGTTGTGGTCCACAGCCTGCTCAACTGAGATGCAGGTTGAGGTGGGCAAAGCTGAGCGTCAGGACCGGGCCAGAAAGATTTTTGCGCGATTTCCCTAGTACTTGAATTCAGCAGCAGCCTCGCAACAGGAGCAGATCATCATCAAGGAAGCAGAGAAGCTAGTTGCGATTCAGCAGGTTGGGTTCCGTGCTGCGCCTTGACGATGCGCATTGGACGCTGCAGTCAACGAAGCCCCTTGCAGCGTTCGCCTCACATAAGCATTCTGAGTGCACAAGCTTCGGCATCGCAAGAAGTCAATACAACCGGCAGGTTGAAGAGCTTCTAAGAGCAGCAAGAGGATTGGCACGCAGAGTCGAGCTCCAAAATGAGGCAGCTCGTGCTTGTGCCTTGTGCACCCCGGTCTTGTCCTTTGCCGAACCCCAGACCCGAGACACAAAATGGCAGGCTACAATCACTCAGCTGAAGCTGGTGCAGCAGAAGCAAGCCGAGGCACAGCGCAATTGGAAAGTGTCCGCTGTGGACAGAGACATCTTGTGTTGTCGATACCATTTTAGAGATGAAAATCTAGGCCAGACATGGCCAGACTGGATTCTTATATTATAGTGTTGTACCATGTAATTTACTGGAAAATGATACAACATACGCGGTGGAAGAGTGGCCCAAAGTAACTCCACGCAACAGACTTCGACATCAAAAAGGTTAGGATCATATATCATAGTGGCAATGGTACAGTGGAATACCATGCATATATACCTCGCAGTTACATTTTAATACACGTGGTATGGATGTTTGTCGAAAGACGTCTGCATGTGCACGTGTGTTTGTGTGTGTGTGTGTTTTGTTTTGTTTTGTTTGGTTGTCGAGAATCTATTTTGTCTACTGATCGTTTGAAGTTCGAATCTAACGCGACAACCTCCTGCTCGTCGGTAGTTCTGCGCACGTGCATGTGCTGATCTATCCTGGGTTTTCCTGTCTCAAACGATCGCGCCCAGCCTCGCTCATCACCGCAAGCCTCTTAGTCTAAATCTTGTTCCTTCATGTGCACACCCCCTCCAGATCTGGCTGGACGACGATGCGGTGCTTTAAGCTAGTGCCACGGAGGAGAGAATGATTTTGGACCGCTGCCTGAGTGCGCCGCCCCACCTGCATCCTACGTGCAAACGACCGTACAAGACACTGGTGCACACGACATCCCTAGCCGGTGGCTTGATGTCAATTGAAGTCTGGGTCGTGTCAAAGGGAGCATTCTGCTACATCTTGTTGTGTGCGGAAAAACTGAAACTTCACTCATGGGCTGCGTGCAATTAGTGTCGCTATCTTCAATTGGAACGGGGGGGAGGCCGCAGCCGGAGCGGCCAGCTCCTGCCTTAGCATGGCCAGGCAGCTAAAGAAAATACTTGTTTATCCTAATTATTGTTATTACGATGCTCTGTTGTTGATATACCTCTATATATATATATATGTACGTATATGCTACCCCCCCTGGGTTATCCACCCTTTTTGCGTGGAAATGACCGAATTGGCCCATTGCCCGGGCGGCGACGCATCACGGATTGAAGATCTCACCGATTGTGCGGAGGTGATTGGGATTGGTACCATGTCCGCCCAAAACCCCTGCAGGATCATAAAGGAACCTGGGTCTTTGAAGGGGGGTGCCATATAATCATGCTACCCTCCCCCCCAAAGACCAAGGCTTTCAGGTAAGAATTGACAGTGGCCTTCTTTGCTTCCGGAATTACGATCGAAAGGGTCCTCACGGTAGGCGCACCTTTTTAGTGGTGAGACGCCTCCATAGAATTAATTGGAGGTTTCTTGAAAGGTAGGCGCACCTTTTTAAGGGGTCCTTATGATAAGGATCTTACTACTTGGGGCCTCTATATTGAGGCCGATGGTGTTCTGAAATTCCTAAACACTTTAAATGTCCATTTGCATGTATCGTACATACACTAGCTCTAAAGTTGCTTTTCAGCAACCCTTTTACATCCGACAAATACACTGTATAGGCAATAGGCTACAGGTTCCTAGAAGCCTTAAAAATCGTTTTTAGGAACCCTTATAGATCTCTACAGAAGCCCCCGAAATCCCATTATAGAACCCTGATAAATCCCGTAAAGAACACTGACAGAACCCTCGAAGAAACCCCCGAAAATCCTATTGTAGGTGCATGGACCCCTGCAAGGACATCGAGTTCTCTTCTTGGATCTGTCAAAACTCATGACTACACCCCCTGCTGGAACGCCGTAAAGCTGTGAAGCCTAAGCATACTGTGAAACACAAACTCCGAACGCTTTAAGCCTTGAACCCATAATCCCCGCGCTCAGCCATCCTACATGATAGACGACCCGAAACCCTATACCCCAAATCGATTGAGCAGTTCAGGCTTGCTTGGAGTCCTGCAAGCAAGTCTACATGAGCAACATACAAGGGTACCATAAGGCCTACTATAGGGTTACTATAAGGGAACCCTCTAACAACCATTCCAGCACCAAACCTACAGTCTGATGGGTCCAGGTTTAGGGGCCAAGCCGCAACCAACCCTAAACCCTGAACCCTAAACCCTAAACAACAATTACATCCTGAGGTGATAAACCGCAATGCTGTTACCCTCCAGATCTGCAAACCCTTACCTCTGACACTCCAAAAAGCTCAACATAAATTCCGCTAGACGTTCGACTCCAAGATATGCATCATTTGCATACTTGCACCCTAAGGTGTAGGGTTTGGAGTTTAAGGATTAGGGTTTAGGGTACAGAGGACTTAATGGCTGGACTAGACTAGCGGTCGCATACAGCTTGTTTGAGTCCTACCTAGAAGGCTTACTGTTTCTACTTAAGGGCCACGAAAAGGGTTTACTACAAGAACAGGAAATTTTTAGACTACGGTTTTCTGGCATATTAGAATGGAAATAAAGGAATTCGGATACCAGAATAGGGTTTTTTATGTTTAGACATTTGGAAATAAGAAATTGCTTAGTTTTTTGCAGTATTCTAACTTTTCAGGCCCTGGTATTATCCGTGGCAGCCCAATAGCTCCCTTACGAAGCCTTTATTAGCAGTCTGCCAACTTCAAGAGAGCACCGGATTGAAGTTGAAGCGGTTCTGTCATTTAGTGTCTAGACGCTTCAGGCCTGGAGATTCGGGTCTCGGGGAGCTGTTGAAAGATAGCGGGCCCCCATGGGGGAATCCGAAAAGTTCCCCAGCAGTCTTTCTGGCCTCCAACCCTAGGGCCTTAATCCCCAAACCTTGGACTCTGACCCTCGTAGAATCCCTATAAATAAGGGACCTTAACTGTTAGAACAGGGTGTCGCGGTACATGATGCTACGAAGATAGTTAGGACTATAAGGGAACACGCTTACTAGCGCATTCTGACCCCTAGTGACTAGTGCCATCCCGGAAACCCGATTCACAGAATCCCCAAAACCTAAAACCCTAAACCGAAATCCTAAATCCTCAACTCTGGGGTTTAGGGTTAGCCCCTACACCCTTCAAGCTACACGCTAAACCGGAACCCCTTAGCCATCCCTCAAACCTCGACACAGGCACGTGAGCAGCCAGGCGTGCAAAAACATGGGACAAGTAGCTTTAAGTACATACCAAACCCATTCAGTTCAATAGGGCCTATTGAATTCAATACGGCTGTCGGATTACAGATTGAAGATGCTACAGAAAACTTTCCCAGGGCATCTTCAACCTTCCATCCGACAGCCCTATTGAATTCAATAGGGCCTACTGAGCTCGAAACGGTTCACGGACTGAGGATTCGTATGGTCGATCCTGTGTTATCCTAAACATGTGCACTCCTCCAGCCCGGCGATCGGGCTGGTGATCGTTCGGGTGACTACGATATGGTTTTGAAACTTTACGCAGATGACTCACTCGACCACACGTTCAAGTCGAAAGAGGAGCGTGCGTGACCACGAGCGGATTTAATGGGGGGTGGCTTGGATTGTCATCTTTTGTGTATGGCTTACTTATGCTTGGAACGCCAATGTCCTGATTATGTTCACGGTGCTTACCATGTCAATACTGCCAACAGCACGACTTGCACTGACCATGTGCAAGTGCTACAGTAGCGGTAGCAAAGCGAACATATTCAAGTAGTTGGACACGTAGTGAGTTTATTTCAATAGATTTAATGTGGCGGTTCGCAGAACACAAAGCCTTGTCGAAATGACGTGCTCGCTGGAGCCGCTGCCTCTCTTTGTCGAGGAAGCACAGAAATGCACTAAGTCCAAACATTCCGCTTTCAAAATGACAGAACATCCATTTTGCCGCAGGTACAATATGCACGGCACTGACTAACACATACGCCGTTGAACTAAATGCTGTTGCAACAGCACTTGCGACTGGTTGCAGTCCACGTACGGCCGTTCCTGGGCATATTCCCATGGACCGGGAGTACTGTAGTTCTAAGCCATGTCGAAGACTGTTGTACTTCAGAACACACCAACAGACCAGCCAGCCCCTGAATAATTTTTGGACATGGAGTTCGAAACGAATCGCGATGAGTTTTGGAACACATGTGACGTGACGAATGGTGAATGGTGTTCCGTGCATGGTTGCAAGCGGAGCTCCCAAGTGAATGCACGATGATGACATACGAGCGAGCATGCGCGTGGAATGCATCATTGACAGTTGGTAGCAAAGGTATAGCAGTGTTTTGCAGCACGGCGAACATGCAAGCGGGAAAGCAGCAGGGCCTTTGCAGGAGGCCTTAGGAAGGGATGTGCGTGCCTAGAGGACCTAGGTTAATGCACATGCCCAGACAGACATGTACGGAGAGAGCCGAATATCGCCGCAATTCAACACTTCAATGAGGCAAACTCCGCAATCCTTCAGCAGTTTGCCAACGAGACGCAGGCCTTTGACAGGCCTGCACCGTGAGTCGCCACGTTTTCTGAAGTGGCCGTTCCTGGCCATCAGACCAGTGCAAGCAGGCTGTTCGAAGTTATGGAGATTCGTGCCCTCGAAGATCATGATGGAGAAAAGATGGCAGTGAGCCTGTGAGGTGCACCTTGAGAGCGCTGCAGAACTGCTGAACAAAAAGCAGGTCTCAAGATAGATGGCTCCATGTGGCTCCCAAGGCTCTGGAGGCGAAGGGCGCGGTTAAAACAACATAGTCTCTCACGAGAGACTTGGGCCACCTTGAATTCAGCAGATGCATGCCTGGCGCGGTATTTTGCAAAGTGGCAACAAACTGCCGATGCCGCACAATCCGTGGCTCAGCCTGAACCTGTAAGGGATCGGAGTCTGAAGCCAGGACAGCCACCAAGCTCGCGCAGAGGTCTTGAGGATGTTCTCAGGGCCTCAATCAGAGTCAGCAGTCTCACCCCCAAGACTCCATGGGCCAGACTCCTTCCGCATGTGCGGACCGATGGTGGCTCAGCAAGAACCCGCTTTCATCTGCTACGAAGTGGAGTCTTAGAGTCACCACGGAAGCAGCTTCAACTCTTGATCAAGGCGACATCAGCACTGCCTCTTTGCCGCTCAAGGTTCGCAAGAACTGTCCCAACATGCCACCTTGAGTTGAAGCTAAGGGTTGCAGGTACCTTATAACTTACATCTTTAAGTCTAAGCTGTATGGAATTCCAGGCTTTCCTGCTGAACTCCCGTTGTTTCGTCTGTGCGCTAGTGGCATGTCATGAAGGGCAGCCGCTCCGGCAGCCTGAGCTTTGGAGGAAATTCGACTGTCGAGCTGCCATGGGATCTGCCACCTCCTCCACAGGTTCCTCCTTCCATCGAAGACGTGAACAAAGACACTGGCAAAGCCGAGAAGGAGCTGACTCTTGCAAGACCCTTCATGCAAAACGGCAGCTCCAAAGCCGATTTCGGCGAGGTGAACATGGCATTGGAGGCTTTGCCTTTGAATTTGCCACCTCCACCTCAGCCACCACCTATGTGGCAAGCAAGCAAAGCAGCTTTAGACACATGCCCGTGCCCCTGCAGTGGGCATAGCAGTCAGTGCTCAAGACCCTTTCGTCCTTCTGGGCGGAATCCCTGGGAGAGCCCAGCCACTCTACACGAGCAAGACTGGGAGCACAAGGCCAGAGAGTTCTTCAACCCAGGCATTCAGACTGAAAAACCGGAGTTTGACGCTGCAGCTATGCAGAAGTGGGGTGAGGGCATCGAGGGCCTTGCCGACATGTCACCGCTGAGCAGTCATCAGAATTTGAATGCAGTCGAATCACAGATCTTCGGCGAATGGCAGTTGCAGGCCAGGGAGGCGTTGATAAACGAGACGCTCGATGACATCACCTTCGTGCAGGAAAGCTATGCGGCAGCAGAACGAGATCTGGAGTGGCGTAAAGCCACGACCATGTCCAAGCGTCAGCAGATTGAAACACGGCAGGCGGAGCTGGCCGTTTACCAGAAACGCGTGCAGGTCCAGGAAAAGGACGTCGTTGCAGATGAAGAACTCATCCGATGCAGGGAAGCACAGCTTGACGCCGATGCACAGCATTTGAGACGATGTGAAAATGCTTTGAAGGCAGAAGCCAAGCGAGTGAAGCAAAGACGAGATGACTTGGACAACAGTGAGCCCATGCTCCAGCGCAAGGAAGAGGAGCTTGTTCGCATGCAAGAAGAGCTAAGCAAGCTGGAAAAGGAAGTCTCAGAAGCAGAGCAAGAGATACAGCATCGGAGTGCAGATATTGCTTCTGCAGAAGCCCAGCTTCGGCGTCGAAGGGCGGAATTGAGCTCACGCCACGCAGAGGTAGCAGGCGACAGGCGTGTGTTGAACGGTCGCGAAGCTGAACTTCAACACGTGTCGCACTCGCACGTGTCGCACCCGCCTGTTCCCGACACAGTGGTGGCACAGGTGGCACAGGCGCCGTCGCTTCAGCCCCAGGTGCAGAGCACGCCTCAGGCGCCTGTTGCCACAGCACCGTGTGCACCTGCGTTTGCTCAGCCTTTTGTGCCTTGTCCAGTCCCGCCGACACCGGTGGTTGCACCTCCGATGGTTGCTCCTCCAACTACTCCCGCACCTGCTGACCCAGTTCAGCAAAATTTGGCTTTGCAGCTCCAACAAACACAGCAGATGCTACAGATGCAGCAGATGCAGCAGCTCCAGCATTTTATGAAGGGTGGCTTTGGAGATGATGTGAAGGAAAAGGAGAGAGAAAACAAATTGCAAGTCCTGGAAGAGACGGTCCTCGAGCGACTGGAGGCCTTAGAGAGGCATGAGGCTGCTCTAGCTGCCGTCATGGCTGCCGCAGCCCAGGCAGCAAAAGAAACTCAAGAAGCGACAGCAGCGATTGTCAGCCAAAGCACTGAAGCGGCCAAAGACACTGCAGCAGCGATTATGGCGAAAAGCTCCGAAGTGGTTCGAAGTGCAGTGCAAGACATGACGGAAGCATTGGCTGTCAGGGAACGTGAGGCGCAGGAAGCACTTCAGGCTATGACCAATAGGTCAGCCATGTCTGGCGCCAAGAATGTGGAGGCTTCGGTCAAGACGGTGCCGGTGCATCAGAACGTTGAGCCTTTGCCGCAGCCTTCCGTTGAAACGTGCACCAGTGAACCTGTAAAGCAGGTGGCTCCAGCGCCTGTGTCTGTGGCTTGCAACACAGACCGACTGGATGTGCCCGAGAACGAGGAGGCACTTTCGTCTCGGCCTGAACCACACGCACAACGCGACCGTGATCCAGAAAGCTGGGTGGACGGGCACGCTTCCGCAACTTCGCTCAGAAATGTCTACGAAGCTCTGCAAGGCCAGCACCAAGCACCATTGGCACTGGGTCGACCCGTCGGTGCAAGAAGGGCAGCCTTGCGTGAAGGATCAGGTATTGAGGAGGTGCAGACCTTGGCTTCTGCTGCGGCTTTTTTGCGTGGAGAGCAGCCTCAGCTGGGAGGTGCGCAAGACGGTGGCGAGTTGTGGTGTGGGGAGAGTGACATCACTTCAATCGCTGCCCACATGGACGGACAGGATGCTGAGCCGGTGAGGCTGACCGAAGAAAGCGTGCTGGACGAACAGATCATGAACAGAAGCAGCATTCTGCAATGCACAGAACTGGCAGACGAAATGAGTGAAACTAACTCGGCGAGCGAGCCTAGCCCTATTCAGTCAAAGGCGCCAGCAGTGGCCTGGGAGATTAGCCTATCTGATTGGCCTCGCACTACATGTCAGAGGCCACCCGGTCAGAGCCCAGCAGAGTTGGGCAAAAAACGGATGCACAAGGCCCAGGAGGCAGCAAAACGGCAGGTTGAGGGACCAAAACCGCCCGGGCCGACCAGGAGCAAAGCCACCACGACCAAGACTTCGAGAGCTGCGGAGCTTAGCCATCGCCCCAAGGACGAATGCGCTGCAAGGAAATTGTGATGTTTTGTGAAGCAGACCATTGGCAAGTCATGGAGATCGGTAGAATTCCATCACTTGCGATTTGCAGGATGCATCCTCGACATCGCGAGGTTCGAGAAGCTTTGCGACTGCACAGCGTGCTAACAGGAGTGCAAGCACTTGAACGCCTTCCGTGTAGATCCCTACATACCCCCATCCAATCGATCTGGTCAAAGGTGGGACTCATCTTGCGATTGTGGATCCGGGAATCGTGGGTGCTGAGCAGGGAATCGTGCGCAGTCTTGAGCCTAAGCATCTAGATTTCAGGCAATTTGATTTGGATAGGGGCGGAGCACGATGGAGCCTGCAGTCCGGATGTGCTATCTGCTGCAGGAAGCCAGCCGCTTCCACATCGCAAAGGCAAGCTGGTCTCTGAGCTCCAGCCGACGCGATGCCATCTTCGTGCTACAAACTGAAGGACTCAGGCTCGTGTTCTGGGAGACGTGACGACACCAGATGCAACGTACGCCGAGCCAACGTCTTCTGTGTCCAAGACGAGGTTGACTTGCAGAGCCATCATCAGAGGCTAGCATGTTGGCCCGGATAAGCTCCGATCCAGCACGGACAATGGTCCAATGGTGCAATAGATGCACCTGTTAATGATGAGGTGTGCCCTTGGTGCAGCAACCGAGAATGCAGTACCAGTTCACTGCTGAGCAGCAAGTCGGTCTGCGAGCAGAAATCGTCCGGAACGCACATGCCGCATGTTTGACCTGGCCAAGCAAGCAAGCATCGAGGGTTCGGCAAAGCATGCAGTGGCGGATGTGCTGTCTCAGGGGTTCTCTCGGATTGGTCAATTATCAGTACTGGAAGGCTCGAGGATCTTAGCCCTAGAAATATTTGGGATCGTTTATTCTGGGACTCAAGCTCACAGTGTCTAGCTATCTTGCTATCGGAGCTGTACGCAAACTCTCAGACTGCACTGTCGGCGACAGAAGTCCTGTGCCATGGCTGCCACCGCTGCCCCTTCTTTGAAGGCATGGAAAGCATATTGTCGTTCTTTCCATGCTGGCCTTTTGTATGCCATTCTGCGTCGTGACAGGCTGGCAGAGAAAAAAAGAATTGGCTGATCAACCTGCTGTATGTTCGGCAGGCACGTCAATGGCATTGCCGTATGCATGCCCCTTCATTAGTACGAGATTAATGCCAGACTTTCTTGCCCATGCTCACGGGCTGAACATACATCCTAAAGCACTAATCACTTTATCGCAGTTGGCTTTGTTCTTTTCTTGATGTGCCGGCTCGGCTTGCAATAAGATGATCTGGAACGAAGCCACACCCGGTTTGACACGCAGGAGTTCAAGGAATGTATGGATGTAATCGAAGAGCAGCTGCGAGAATCAAACGGTATGCCGCTGCCTCAGATGGCTTGAATGTTGCACCTGCAGGGCAGCCGAGCAACCTCCAGCGTGGGGGGGTCGCTGCAACAAATTTGGTAAGTCGCTGCAACGAAAACATTGGTTAGCCATCCGGACCTGCGCCGGATGCAGCCGTCATGATTGTCGCGGGTGGACTGGGGGGGGGAAGCACGCATCTGCACTTCCAGGATTCTTTGCAACTTGAGTGAGTCAATTTCTCCTTGGGTCTTTCTCCAAGAACGGACAGTCGTAGCTCAGACGGCTAACCTAGTTGAGAGCATGTTGCCCCTTCAATTTGTCGCTTGCTCATGCTTGCGCCAAAGTGCTCGCATGAAGAGAGACGGCGAGACAGCGGGCCGAGAAGCATTCAAGCAACCAAGTTGTGTTCAAGGGAAGCCCTGAGCTCAATGCATCAGGGCCCGATCCTGCAGGCAGTCGTTGACGTCCAGCTCAACCATATTGCAAGCCAAAGCCATGCAGCCAAGGGCGAACATTTTTTTTCTACCCCGCTTTTCCTCGCAAGGCAAATGCTGCTTCAGCAACGCATACACAATGCGATCAAACGCCTGTACTTGGTACTGCACATCACCTGAAGATCTTGAAGCCGGCAGAAGACCGTTCGGACATGCTTACAACGCTGGCGATGAAGCAGTGTTCGGTTCAAGGCCCTGCCGAGAGCATGTAGCAGTCGGATCGTTGGATCTTCCGCCGTCCTGTGATTCGCGTCCGGTGAGTTGCAGTCAGGCCCCAGCTCACTTTCTGTCCTAGTCCTACATGGGGCAGAAACAGTTCTGGTGGGACGAAACGTATCTCTCAAAAAGGAGCAAAACTGACCGGGTGAGCCAGCAGACTGTTTCGCAAGCCCAGTGCCAGGCCTGTTCCACGACTAAGCAGCCGAGGTGCGAATATGCCATATACGTCAAGGCGCTGATTAAGCGGCAGGAGGGGCAGGCAGCTACTCCCGTTTCAGCATGCATGCACATGGCTGGAGATGGGGCAGCATCAGCGATTTGGCCTCGTGCAGGTGCAGGAGTCTTTGCAGCTATTTCAGGCGGCCACCTGCATCAGCCCTTTGAATGTGTACAACCTTAAACAGGCAGGCTCATGACATGGCGAAAAGCATCGCAAAGCCTTCTTCCCAGTGAGATGCACTGAGATGGGTCGGAGCCTCTACCTGCTCGGTAAACATCGCGGAGCAATCGAGGCAGGCAATTTGGCGAGTTGTTTGTCCCAACACTCCTCGCTGCTAATTGTGACGCTTCATAGCCAAGATGCTTTCTTTTAAGGGGGCAAACAGAAAGGTGCCAGCGGAACAACAGGTTTTATGGTTGAACGCAGCCAGATGCCTAGATGAATTGAGGCCTAGACACTGCCAGCAACACAGACTTCTGTGTTCTTGTGATGGCATCATTGCAAACTTACCTTTGCATCGGATTGCACCCTTGCTTTGCAATGGTTTGTGTGAAGGTTCAACACTGCCTAAGCGACATTGCTTGGACTCGGAAGCTTGCGGCAGGTGTATGACGAAGCACAGAAGATTTCTCCTGAAGACTGGGAGATCTGGCACAACAAAGGCGCGGAAGCTGTCTGATGGGGGACAAAGGACTTGCTTGTTGTTGCCCCCCTCTTGCGTTGCGCGAATTGTCCAGTGCTTTTTTTGTTTTGGGGGGCTTCTTGGCCTTCTCGCTGCTTTGTTTTCTGACTTTGCAAGCGGAGCGAATTCGAGAAGGGAGAAAGACCTGGTCCAGCATTCGAGGCAGGAGCGAAGCGAAGCCACGAAGGATGTCTGGAGTTTCGGCAGGGCAGGAATCGCTAGATTGCCAACATGGTTCCCTTATATTCAACTTATGTTCCCTTCAAAAGAGTTTTCCTGGATTAGTTATCTTCCTGCATGACAGTTCCCGAGGTTGCAGACTTACTGAAAGTTTGGAGGGCATTTCCAGCCCCCCCCTCCACCCGGAAATGTCAGCATTGAGGGTTTAGGATGTTTCAAAGATTCGGAAGGGCTGCGAAACTCAAGAAGCTGCGAGATGCTGAGCGAGATCCACATGGCACAAAACACACACGGTGTGAATCGCCTCGGAGAACCTAGCATGGCATCGAGACAGCAGGGCCATGCGGAGGCATACGGGGGCATCCACAGAATCGTAATATTCAAACCGGTCCATTAGGACCTTCTCTCCTTAATCTGCTTTGCTACTGTTGGCGCATGTGTGCGCTACGGCGTGCTGACGTGCCTCAGCGTGACGCACTTCGAGCGCCACGATGTTAAATCCGAGTGCCACAACCTCGGGGGTTTCTGGCAACTACCAAGACTTTTAATGGCCTGGGGTTTTGCAACACCTTGGTTTCCGAGCTTGGCAGCACAAATGACGGAAGAAAGAGCTGGCAGAGGCACCCAAGCCAGGCTCGACGATGCTGCCACTTACGGATTATCAGTCTCATCACTGCCTGCTTCCGGAATCGACGAAGCACAGCGATGGAACAATCCAGAGGCACACTCACACATGTGAACAGAATTGAACAGATCAGAAGTGTCTTTCTCGGAGTCCGATGGCACAGCAAGCTGGAGTAGAAAGTGAGTGAGGCGAGCGTGACCAACGTAGCAATCGTCCACATCTCCATCATCTCCCATTAGAGGATTGGGCTGTTGGAGGCCCCATGCTGCAAGGTCGCCGCCGTAGTGCACAAACAGGAATCTCGAGCAAGGGTCGAGATACTGTACCTACACCGGCGACCCTGCAGCCTGGCGCACCTGTCACTGTGCGCTGCGAAGAGCCTCAACGCGAAGCGACGTTTTCGGATGTTTTCGGATTCTCTGCGGCAGAGGCTTGTGCAGCCGCGCGCCTGGCACATACATTCTTGAATTCACATGCAAACAGCTTTTTTGCCACCACAAGAAAAAGAGGCAGTGGCACCCTTAACATCACAAGGCTGGAGTTCGTGCGAGACCATCCAGCCAAACAGCCAACGTAGCTGGCAAAAAAGCTGAGAACTACGCCTTGAGCACTCGGGTGTTGCAACATGCGAGGGACATGATCAACCTAATCCACCCCGCAAGAAGGTATTCCGGAGACCTACCTTGCACATCAAAGCTTGCGCATGCATGCAGGCACGGATTGCAGCGCCAACACATGAAAGTTGTGTGAATCAACGAAGGCATGGCAGCATCCCTCAGGCCGCAGGGTTCCTGGTTTGACCTCATGGGCCAGTACCAAGGGCAACGACTCCGTGTACCGGCACCCCGACTCCATCTTCCCGACCTGGTCTGAGAAACTCGTGATGCAAGAACCTTTTTTTTATCATGCGGGATGGCTTGTCCATCCATCCACCTTTTAATGTTCCTGTTGGATGGATGTTTCCCTCCCGGGTGTAGCCTATCATTGTACACGCCGTCACTGCATGGATCGTGCGGCGCATGTTTGAGGGTCCCGGCAGGTACGGTTTACTTTGCTCGGACCCGCTTTACAAGCATGTTGAGGAATCGCTCCCTGCGCACTTGCACACGGGGCTCATGTTGACGTAGGTCTTGCCGGAGAGATGCTCCCCGGCCCAGCGAAGCACCTGCCTACGCCGCCGGGCCGGAAACCCGTGGCCGCCTGGAGGTGGTAGTCCGCGTTGTCGAACTCCTTGGTGCGGAAATTCTCCAACCAATGGCGCGACGGTTGATGCCGATGCCGCCTGCACCGAGGATGCAGAACCGCAGCACAGCAGACATGAAGGGCAAGGTGTGCATGGCCACTTGCTTGATGGTGCATCTGAGAGATGCACGTCATGAAAATGCCGACGAAAGGAAGCCAAGCGATCCACCAGCTCCAGTCTCAGTAATCCCCAGTAAAGAAAATCCACAAGTCCATCTAGGAAGGATTGGCGCCCTGGCCTATTTGGTGCCGCTCCAGCCTACCCTCTTCTGGATTTTTTGATAAGACTTGTGCATGCGACCTTATCATGTCCGACCCGCTCCCCAATCTGAGTCCCACATAACCTTGAGCTGAATGTAAGCAAACAATGCAGGTCTGATTTGCAGAATTTGGAGGTTGAGGTCAATCAGCAGATTCAGTTCCAAGAACATCATGGACACACCACCACCTTAACTCAACCATATCTTGGAATCAATCTCCGAAGCTGTGCGGCACTTGACAGTAGTGTTCCTCTGTCTTGATAGCATTGCGGTGACCATGTCCACGTAAAGTCGATTTTTTACGTTTGCAGGTCTATGTCACATGTATCTCCGGCAGTATGACAGCTCGATAGACTGCTTCACCAAGGCAGGGGCGAGGGTTGAGATTTTTCAAGCATGGCATGTTGACTTTTGTTGTTGTGCAAAGCCCTGCATTCTGTTCCCAGCTCGTACCGTGGCACTTGGCTACGCAGTCGAATCGAAATCACCATCATCCAGCTCCAAATACCAGCCCAGCACTCACTCAAAAACATCTGCCGCTTATTCCAGTTTTGTACCGTAAAGAGTGAACCTAATTTGAACAAGTACGTTGAGTTATCTATATATGTATATATACACAGTATATAGATACCCCAGACTTGACCTGGCATGAACAGGACTGGGAAAGGACTGTTATGAGGCCAGAAACAAGGGATCAAAAGAAAACAATGGGTAGAAGACCCAACACTGCAAGCGGACATCTTCACTGAGCCCGTCCTGTTTGACGCTCTTTTGCATACAACGGTCTAAGACGGTTTCCTTTCCAACGAACCGGGGCTCGCGATGAGTTCATGATTCAGTATTTGGAGGCTTGCACAGGGCTGGAAAGATGCATGACATGCTCAGATTTAAGAGGCCCGACTCACAAAGCTGGCCATGTTTTACTTCCGCAGCAGGCCAATGCCATTCAACGGCACGACGTGACCTTCATGCAGCTGGGAAAGGCAGCTGGTGGTGTGAAATTGCTTCACTCATTCACACAAGAAAGAGCTGCCGTGTCGTTCACATTGACTTTCTCCACAGGTGTATGCTTTGCAAGAAGACTACAAGTCCGCCATCGATGTCTACACTGAGGTTCGGCAGACATGCTTGGTATTTGGCACAAGCGGAGGAGTGAAGCAAGCCAACGAAGAAAGCTTGCTGCCAGCATCGTCGTTGCCATCATCCGCTCCGTTGCTTGATTGTAGACATGCCGAAGCTTATCAGAGTTTTCAACTAGCGCAACACGATGCGAGTATGGGACCGAAGCAGCAGCAACACTTTGGAAGAGTTTGTGTCGGACCGCGAACACAACGACTATGATGATGACGACGATGAAGAAGGTGACGATCACGATGATACGTGTGTGGTGCTGGTCCCGTGCTGGTGGTGGTGGTGATGGTGATGACGAGGATGATCTAATTAATACTAACGCTGGTGCTGGTGCTGGTAGTGCCGATGAATATGATGATGATAATGATGATGATGATGATGGGGTTGATGATGTTGGTTCATGTCTCGTCATGTCATGACAAGCTTCCGTCGGCTGCCAGGCATTAGAATTTTCTCCCGAGCATGCTGAGCTGTTGACCACGCTGGGCATCCTCTACTTGCGGCGGGCAGCACATCCCTTGATTGTCATGCCTGCCGCAACTGCTTTGAACGCAACTCATCGTAGGATGGGCGAAAATTTCAAAGCCTTTGCCCGCGTCTTAGATATTGCAATGCTTCGGTTTTGGTTCGACATCGTGCTGTGCAAAAGGACTACTTGGGCAATGCGTTGACTCATGACCCGAAGAATGCCAAGACGATTTTGGCAGCTGGGTCCATCATACAGGACAGGACCACACCAGCGACCACACCTCCCAGTTTCGGCCTCACACCACCAACTGACCAATCTCTCCGCATCGTTGGAGGATCATTCAGACATGGATGTTGCGCTCATCAAGTACCGGGTAGCAGCAGTCCACACGCCCAATTCCGCTCAACTCTGGAACAAGTGCTGCTCTCAGTGGCTCTCGATGGTTGAGGTGAAGAGTGTGCGAGTTACATAAACCGCTTGACAAGGTAAGGACTCCTGCTTGCTTGCACGGACAAAACGAAGACGAAATCCAATACTCCGCTGACAGATAGAGCCAACGCTTTGTGCTCGGAGGGGGGGCGACTCATGCACTCGTGATATATTCGGTGATACTTGCTGCATCCTGTTTAATGCTCCAGATGTTCACCTCGCGGGTCTCTCTTCAATGCTTCCGACTCGAACGCTGCCCACAGAGGCAGAGAACTTGGAAATGAACCGTTCCTTTGCTCTTACCTCTGAGTTCCACCTGTGGCTTCTGCGACAAAGCTGGAGTGCAGCACGGGACCACCCAGAATGACCACATCGAAGGATTGCCACATCAAGCTTTGTTTATGGGCCGTTTTCATCCAGACCATACTGGAGAGCACCAAATTCTCGTCGGGAGCAGGGTTAGTTGGCTGTAACCTAGACCCAGACTCCAGGTTCTAGGTGCTCCATGTTCAAGCATTTGCAATGCCCAGTATCGGTATGTGCTTCTTCGGGAAGACGAAGTACGTGGCGGCAATCGCCTGCAGCCGCCTCAGTCACGGCATGTAGCCACACACGTTGCCTCAAGATGAGCAGAGGCCTGAAGCGTGCACTGTATTTGGATCCTTTCGAGTGGATCATCTCCTACAACCTTGGACCGGCTCTCGGATTTCGCTCACTGCACAGGATATGTCACTTCGGGAGCTTGCACAGGTCTAGTGCACCTGAACACGGGCCAGTTTGCCTCCGTGCCTCAGCACTGCGTTGAGTGTGTTGCTCTGTAATGTAGATAGTCTGCCTCTTTATATACATGCACATTTGTGTGTGCATCTGTGTGTGTGTGTGTGTGCGTGTGCGTGTGCGTGTGTGCGTGCGTGCAAGGGGGGGTTTAGCTGGCCCGCCATGAGTTCATCTGTCAGTTGATGAGTCGGTCACTCAGCGAGATAAATCATGTCATTTTCTAGCTTGTCAGATATCTGTATCATCTATTTGCAGAAGAAGCTCGACGTTGTCTGCTCGTAAGAGGTTTAGTGTGTTGATGTGTTGGTACATGTGGGTCTATATGTATATGTCTACATGTAGCATATAAAATATATTCTATATATATATATATGTATTATAAAGGTGTGTGTATATATATATATACACATTACGGCAAGCCCCCCTGCAACCAAATAACAGATGTTCCTGTAGCCCCCAGTATCCTATCAAACATTTTTGGGGGGTGGCGTGCCATATATATATATATATATAT